CTCTCCTCTGGTCTTTATCTCTTTGCAAGTGCTTTCATTTCTTTCGCAATTGGGCGGCATTGTCTTTCATTGTGAATTTGCACTTGGGAAATGACCAGGATCGTAACACTAACAAAATTGATCAGCAACTTTGCATCCAAGGGAAAGACCTGACATAATTCAAGAATCAAACAGCAAATTGCAGAAATGACATGGCTTCGGGTAAGGGAGCAGTTCACTTCACCTTGATGATGTCAGAAGTCACTCAATGACACTGTAGGTGAGTATTTTCCTTCACTGGCCTCTTCTTCAGCTGTCCAAGTCGTCCCCCTCAACATCTAAACTATGACTATTCACCCCACGCTTGCCTCCAGCCTTTAGCTCGAAGGATAAGCTTGACAGGCAAATTAGCATAATGTCTACATCGTGATTTCCACCCTCCCGGCGCCGCATGCAACCCTTTGCAGTCCACGAGAACCGTGGGAAGGCCAGGGGAGCCTTTTCTCCATTAGGTTATCACTACTGATCACATGTACCAGCATCCTACTCCTAGGCCTAATTGACGCCAAAAAGAATTCGACACTAACAAAATTGACCAGCAGCTTTGCATCCAAGGAAAAGACCGGACATAATTCAAGAAACAAATAGCAAATTGCAGAAATGACAAGGCTTAGGGTAAGGGAGCACTTCACTTCAACTTGGTGATGTCGGAAGCCGCTCAATGACACTGTAACGAGTATTTTCCTTCACTGGTCTTCGTTCTCCTTCCTCGGCCTCTTCTTCAGCTTTTCAAGTCTTCCCCCAACTGCCCTCCACTCACTTCACCCTAGCCATAATGAATGCTGCCCACCTCTTTCTCCTCCAACACCGTTGCAAAGAGAGGATGTTCAGGTACCAGTGCAAGAACACAATTCAGAATTCCAATCACAATCATGCAAGCCTCCGAAGTCCAGATATTACGAGGCTGTGCTTTGCACCCAAACAGCAAAGCAACGAGATAGTTATCAGCAGAAACTTGAAGACATTATTCCAAAATAAAAAGTTGTTGCAAGTTTCCATCTCAAGTACATGTGGCTATGGCCGCGCAAACCCTCTCTTTCCCTCTCGTAGGTATGTACTCGCTGTTTCTCCCTCTCTTTTCTCTCTCTTACTTGGACAACTCTCTCACTCTCTGAATGCACTCGGCCTCAACCCTAATAACCATACCTGCGGGGCAAGTGTGCGGTGCGCCATGCGGTGCGGTGCGCTGGTCACCGGTGCGCGAAAAAAAAAAAACTCAATGCTGCAGTAGTAGCAGCGTTAGCAGTAGTCTTCGGCGCTGGGCGCTAGTAGCGTTAGCTATAGTCTTCAGCGCAGGGCGCCATACTAGCTAGAGTAGTACCAGAGAGAGAGAGATTGGGCGGAGGCCAGAGGGACTTACCTGCAGCGCCATTGCTCCAGCTTCGTCTTTGAGGTACCTGCAGCACAACGCCATCTTCACAGGTTAGTACCTGGCACATGAGAGAGAGAGTTCTTCTTCTTCCTCTTCTCAGTCCCCCTATCTGACTTCACTGCATCAGCAGACTACGACGGAGAGAGAGAGAGCTTGGTGACATTTGGATCCAGACTCGACGTTGGACTTCAGACATTTTGAAGAGGGATTATTTGGGACTTGTAAGGAGACTTGGTGATGATGACTTTTCCATCTCCCCCTTCCTCTTCTTCGTCTGATCCCCTCCTCTTCGTTTGTGTATGTCTGGACCTGGCGCCTCTTTCCAGTGCATAGCGCCACACCCCGTCACACCTTGTGATGAGCATGATGTATGTTTGGTCTGCGTTGAAACATTGACTGGGCTAGTCATTAGTACTCTAGCATTCTGCTTCGCTATCTTGTACTACGTGAAAACGGTCAGTCCCGGTCAGGTCAGGACTTGTGTCTAAATCTTCCACTGCGCTATAAAACACCATTTGTATGGTATCGGAATGCACATTGCTTGTTGAGATTCCACTTGCACTGCATTGTCCATTCAGTCCTTTTTATCACATTGCGGATCCTCGGTTTATATGTACATCACCCAACTGGGCATGTAACAGTTGGTATCGGAACATCGCACGTGAATCAGGACAACCAGATCTTACACGTGTGCGGGGACTAGGTAGCTGATTAATCTTGATTGATTGATTAGAGCACACTAGTTAGCCCTCAAAATCACGATTTTGACCTCAATGCCGAAAATCGATTTTTTTTTTCTTTTCGTGGATTTTGTTTTCCCGCTATACCTGTTGTGGAAAATCGCAATAGCGCAACATCTGAAATTTTCGTTTTCATTTTCTTCTGAAAATCCGAAATTTCGTTGTTGGAAAGCCGGAATATCTTTTTCTCGAAAATTTCGATCTCCTTTTGCAATTTCCCGTTATTTGGAAATTTGGAATATTTTTCTTCGAAATTCGTTTTATTGAAAACGGTACGGGAAATCCCTCTTGCAGTACCATTTTCCAAACTGCAAATACTCTCATCTGAGTAAGTCCGAATGCTTGTTATTTCTTTTCGGAATTTTCTTTTATTCGCAGTTCTACAATTTTCACTACCTTATAATCATTGGCAGTCTGAAGTTTAATTTTTTTTTCTCATTGATAATTTCGCACTTCAGGGGAGGTTGAAAGACCTACTGAACTTGCAAAACTTGGGATTTTTTATTTTCTCGAATTTTTTTTAGAAGTTCAAACTTTTCTTTTTTTGATTAGTGGCTCCTTATCTGGCGATTTATCCCACCCACCCCGCCCCACCTATGTTGTTGGCCCCTCTGGTCTTACCTTCTCTATCTGTCTCCGGGTACCCCCTGCGGCGGCATTGGTGAGTTGCCACGTCAATAGGCCATGTCAGCAGGCCACGTCAGCGGACCACGTCAGTAGGACACGTCAGCAGGACACGTCAGCAGGCCACGTCAGCCGACAACAGTGCCACGTCAGCAGCAGGGAGTACCACGTCAGCAGGCCCCCAGCCTGGTCTATGCTTTTGCGCTTGCAAACAGTTGTCATGGACCAGAAGTCCGGGAAAACGGACGAGGCCTATGAGACCTGGATGCTGCTTCTGATTACCGAAGCTAAACAACGGTCGGATGCAGTAGCAGCCACAGCAAAGCAGAAGGCAGAGGACGCCGAGAAGGCACGTTTGTTGGCAATTGAACAGCAGCGCCAACACAACGAGGCAGCAACAGAGGCTGCCGATGAAGGAGTCCAACGTCGCGAGAAGATATTCAACGGAGAGCAAGCTTTGCACACAATGGAAGCGGATTGGCGGGCTGAGGCCGAGAATGGCAAGATGGAAGATAGTGAAAACAAGATCGCTCTACTCCTCTCCCATCTCACGGACCTCCTGGCAACATGCATTACACAGCAGGAGGACATCCACAGCCTCGACGACGCGTTGACTCAAGTGCACGACCGCCTTTGGCAGCTGGAGCAGCGACCTGTCGCCGCCCTCGATGCCAGCTCTTCCAACACCTCCGATCGCCTCGAGGAATTGGATATTGACGTCGGCTCCCTCAAGGACGGCGTGCAGTTACAGCAAACCGCAACGAAACAGTTGGAGCAACGGATCTGTATTGCCGCCAACCACTCGAGCTCCGAACCGCGCAAGACAACTCCAAAGTTCGATGGGCAGGAGATCTTCTGCGACTCGACGAAGACAAATCCGACGTCATGGTTCCGCAACGAGCTCACGTTATAGCTACACTACGTCAAAGAACACAAGCACCACGGGTACTTATACTCCCGCTCGGGGGGCGCGTGCCAAGCATGGTTGGACAATCTCTTGTCCAAGTACGGAGTGGTAGCTGCCGACTTGCATACCAAGATCAGCTGGGATGATCTAAGGGCGGCGTGGCATAAGCGGTTCCAAGTAGAGCCGCTGGAGATCAAGGCAATGGACAAGCTGATGGACTTCGAATAAGGCACGCTGCCGAGTGTTGATTGGATTGCCGAGTACCAACGCTTGACATCCGTCCCAGACATTTGAATGGGCTTCAAAGCCATTAAACACTACTTCATCTCGAGGTCGTGTCCGGCGTTGGGCAATGCCTTTACTCACGTCGAGAACACCCTGACGACGCCGACATAACTTTTTGACAAGGCCGCGCAGAATTTTGTCACGAACAAGGAGGCCAAGAATCTCCCACGTTCGTTTGCGCCAGGCCTGCGCAGAGATCAACATCGGCCGAAAGTGGTCATGGTCGCGGCAGCAACGCCAAACGACCAAACTAGCGAGGCCGTGTCTGCCAATGAAGGGGACAAACTCGCAGCTGCTCGGGAAGGTGGCCGCCTCGACAAAGGCCGAGGACGGGGCAAGGCAAAGACAAACACCGCATCTAGCCCCGAGCGCGACGCAGAGCTCCAGCCCCATGGTCCTAGTTCGGTCTCTCTGAAATGGCGTACAAAGCACGCACGAGATTCCACTATTGTCTATGGCGCAACAACGATCTCCATGAGACAGTGGCCTGCCAGTCGAAAGGCACGGGCAAATCGGAAAACTGAGCACCGCCGGGAGTGACTCCACGACACCTTCGGAACCGGTCACTTCGCGGGTGACCGCCCTTCGTTCCGAGGCACATGCGGAAATCGATAGTCCTCCTCTTCTTTATTCTTTTAAGGACTATGCTGCCCGACTCGTTCCTACGTTGGGTACTCATGCTCAAGGACAAGACGTGTGTGCGGCATCTTCTCTGTCCGGCAGCGGCGACTTATCGTCTGCATGTTTTTTCATGGGATTCGGCGCGCGAGTTCAACGTAGAGGTATTGGACCCGCTCACGTCTGGGGATTTCGCATGGCTTCCTCTCCCGACCGCGGGCCGCTTGCCGAGACCGCAATGCGCAACACTATGCGCTCATCTTCACACGTACTTATCCTTCCTTGCGTATGTTACCAAGGTGGTCCGCGAGTTTCGCGATCAGCAGTACGACGACAACAACGCACTGCTCCTCTATGTCCGCATCCAAGTTGGTCAAGCGTCCTGGAGCGCTTTGCTGGATAGCGGAGCGTCTCGCAATTTTATGAGGCAAACCTTTATGCAAAAGGCTGGCCTTGGTGCACAATTTCGAAGAAAGGCGAACCCGACGACGATCAAGTTGGTGGACGAAAGGATGCAACAACTTATCGACCACTACATCGAGGTCGTACCAGTGTATTTCGCACCTCATGCATGCAAACCGGTGACATTTGACATTTTGGATACGGACTTCGACATTATCTTGGGAATGCCTTGGCTTGCAAGTGCCGATTACACGGTCAACTTTCACTGGCGGAATCTTACTGTTCGCGACGCCTTCGACGCCGAAGTGTCATGTACGATTCCTCTTCCGCACCCTTTGATTCGGTGCCAAGTGGTGACGGCCAAGTTATTTCGGGCTACTTGTGCTTACGAGCAGCCCAACGAAATCGGCCTATGTTTCCTACGGACCGTCGTGGTAGCCGACTCTTCACCCACAAACTTGTTTTCGGACCCCCGTGTAGTGCGGTTGCTTGACGAATTCGCCGACATCTTCGAGTCACCTACCGGTGTGGTGTCGGATCGGTCGATCTCTCACGAGATCATTCTTAAGGCCGGTGCCGTGCCGCCGAAAGGTTGCATTTATCGCATGAGCGAGGAGGAGCTCCTCCGCGCGCAACTTGATGATTTGTTGGACAAGGGCTGGATCCGCCCTAGTAGCTTTCCATACGGAGCGCCAGTTCTCTTCGTACGAATGAAAAACAAAGATCTACGATTGTGCATCGACTACCGCAAGCTCAACGCGCAAACCGTCAAGAATGGGGGGCCTCTTCCTCGCATTGACGATCTTCTTGGGCAATTGGGCGGCGCAAAGTATTTTTCTAAGTTGGATTTGAAGTCGGGATATCATCAAATCTCGATCCGACCGAACGATCCTTACAAATCCACGTTCAAGATGCGGTATGGGCATTTTGAGTGGGTGATCATGCCTTTTGGCCTCACCAACGCCCCGACGACCTTTCAAGCGACAATGACGAATGAGTTCGGTGCAATGTTGGACCGGTTCGTGCTGGTCTACTTAGACGATATTCTCGTCTATAGCCGGTCATTGGAAGATCATGTTGAGCACCTTCGACGAGTGTTGGAGACGCTTTGCCGCGCCAAGTACAAGGCCAACCGCGACAAGTGCGAATTTGTCTGACAAGAGCTGGGATACTTGGGCCATTTTGTCACACCTGAGGGCATCAGTCCACTATTGGACAAGATTCAAGCCATCCAAGAGTGGCTGGAGCCACGGAACGTCACAGATGTTCGTTCGTTCAAGGGCTACTCGAAGATCGCGGCCCACTTGACCGAGCTTCAATGCTTCGGATCGACCGTTTGACTTCGAAGAGGATGCGCGGGAATTATTTTTGGCTCTCAAAGCCATACTATTATCTGCAGAGGTCTTGCGCATATACGACCCGCTTTTGCCGTCGCGCGTCACTACGGATGCGTCCGGCTATGGCATTGGTGTCGTCCTCGAGCAACACGATGGCGTGGACTGGCACCAGGTCTGGTATTTCAGCAAGAAAGTGCCCGTCGTGCACTCCATTGACGATGCATGAAAAAAAAGCTCCTTGCCTTCGTCCACGTGCTCAAGCGGTGGCGGCACTTCCTCTTTGGTCGAAGCCAACTCCGATGGGTAACAGATAACAATCCGTTGGTCTTTTACAAGACCCAAGACGCCGTCAACAGCACCATCGCTCGATGGATGACTTTCATCGACCAGTTCGACTTCTTTCCCGATCACATTCCCGGGAAGTCGAACCGTTTTGCGGATGCTCTTTCACGACATCCGGATCATTGTACCGCGGTCTATTCAACCTTCGAGATCGACAACGACCTGCGGGACAACTTCATTTGCGGCTACCAAGCCGACCCCGAGTTTCGCGACAAGTACGCGAATTGCTCCTCTCCTAATCCGCGCCTTATCACTACTGGATCCAAGAGGGGTACTTGCTTGTCCATACACGGGGAAAGGACCTTTTTGCATACGGAGTGACCCTCACTTGCGTACATGGCTTCTTGGCGAGTTCCACGATGCTCCTGCCACCGGACACTTTGGAGTCAATCGCACGATTGGCCGACTTCGTGAGCGATTTTGGTGGCCCGGCCTTCTCGGCGACGTCACACACTATTGCGAGTCATGTGAGGTTTGCCGACGCTGCAAATCTCGCAACCATCGTCCATACGGCGAGTTGCGACCATTACCGCTCCCCTTGCTGCGAAGGGAAGCGATTGCCATGGACATTACCGGCCCGTTCCCCAAGCACAAGACCGGCGTGGATGGGATTCTCACGGTGGTCGACCGACTCACCAAGTTTGCCATGTTTCTGCCTTGCCGCTATCATGCGAAGGCACCGGAGTTGGCCAAGGTTCTTTACACCGGTTGGATTCGAACCAAGGGTTACCCCAAGGAAATCGTCTGCTACCGCAACACTCGGTTCATGTCCGATTTTTGGTTGGCGCTCATCAAACGATGGGGCTCATCTCTCAAGCCAAGTTTGGCTCGCCACCTCCAAACCGATGGCCAAACGGAGAGGGCGCATCAGACTGCACAAGTTCTTCTTCGCACTCTCATCCGCCCCGACCAAAAGGATTGGGTTGAGCGGCTGCCGGATGTCGAGTTGGCCTACAACTCGTCCATCCACCCGGCTATCGGGATGTCGCCCTTCGAGTTGGAGCACGGCTCGCCGGTCACTTCGCCGTTGGACACAATCATTCCACGAACGACCGAGAGCAACGACCATCTTCTTTTCTTGCGTCGGATGCAGGCGCTACTTGTCAAGGCACGAGACCAGATGGCCAAGACGCAGCAACGCGTGAGCCAACAGGCCAATCGCTAGCGTCTTCCTTGACCACTCCGCGCCGACGATCTTGTTTGGGTTTCCACTGCGGAATTCAGCCTTGAACAAGATCTTTCTTGCAAGCTCCTCCCGAAATGGATGGGGCCCTGGCCGATCGTGGCAACTGCTGGGGATGCACCCGAGGGACCTTCCTTCACTATTCAGGTGCCCGCCCACTTGCCCGTCTACCCAGTCTTTCATTGCTCCAAGTTGGCTCTTTACACGCTAGCGGAACATGACGATTTTCCCAGGCGACATTCGCAAGACCCACCCTCTATGGACGGTTTTCAGGAGGTCAGCGACATCATCTCCCAGCGACGCTACGACAACAGGCCAACCTAGTACTTGGTACATTTTGCGTACTGCACTCACAAAGCTGACCATTGGTTGACCCGTGCGGAACTCCAAGCAACAGCTCCAGATGTTCTCGCACGCTACGAACGCAAAATGCAAGACAAGCCGGTATCTTCGGCTCCACATCGCACCCGCGTCCAGGTTCCACCTTCAGATCGTCAGCTTCGCCCTCGACCCGACTTGACTTCATAAGGAGGGGGGGGTGTTACATGCTGCGCCTGCAACAGGCTGCACGGGCCATTTCCAGGCCCGTGACGTTTTCAGGCCAAAAGCCTAAAAACAAGGGCCTACAGGCCTTGTGTCATTTCAGCCTGAAAGCCTGAAAAGAAGGGCCTACAGACCCTATGTCGTTTCAGGCTAAATCAAGGCCTTTTCGGCCCTGAGTGTTTTCAGCCTGAAACTGAGGGCCATTTTCGGGCCCAAATTGGTTCGACCTGCCCTGAAACTCAGGCAACAAACCAGGGTTTTAGCACAGGCCATTTCGGGCCTGTTTTCAAGACAACCCCTGGTTGAGCTTCAACGCCAGGGTCTGGCTCGTTTCGACATTGGCAAGAGCAGCCTCCTGGACGGGCCAGCACTATATAGGACTGGCCCGCCCTGCAGGCAGGCATGTAGTTCCTAGGTACTTCCCAGGCACTTCACGTGCAGTTCAGGAGGCAGGAGGTAGTCTTCAGGATTCAGTAGCAGCACGCTGGAGGAGCGCTGCAGGAGTAGTAGCAGCGTTAGCAGTAGTCTTCAGCGCTGGGCGCTAGTAGCGTTAGCTGTAGTCTTCAGCGCTGAGCGCCATAGCAGCTAGAGTAGTACTAGAGAAAGACAGAGATTGGGCGGAGGCCAAAGTGACTTACTTGCAGCGCCATTGCTCCAGCTTCGTCTTCGAGGTACCTGCAGCACAGCGCCATCTTAACATGTTAGTACCTGGCACATGAGAGAGAAAGTTCTTCTTCTTCCTCTTCTCAGTCCACCATCTCGTTGTCACCCTCTCGGTATCTGACTTCACTGCATCAGCAGACTACGAGGGGGAGAGAGAGAGCTTGGTGACATTTGGATCCAGACTCGACATTGGAATTCAGACATTTTGAAGAGGGATTATTTGGGACTTGTAACGAGACTTGGTGTTGAGGACTTTCCCATCTCCCCCTTCCTCTTCTTCGTCTGATCCCCTCCTCTTCGTCTGTGTATGTCTGGACCTGGCGCCTCTTTCCTGTGTATAGCGCCAGGCCCCTTCACACCTTGTGATGAGCATGATGTATGTTTGGTCTGTGTTGAAACTTTGATGCGGCTAGTCATTAGTACTCTAGCATTCTGCTCGCTATCTTGGATTACTTGAAAACGGTCAGTCCCGGTCACGTCAGGACTTGTATCTAAATCTTCCACTGTGCTATAAAACACCATTTTGTATGTATCGGAATGCACATTGCTTGTTGAGATTCCACTTGCAC